GGAAAAGGAAAAGGAAAAGGAAAAGGAAAGAAAGAAAAAAATAGGGGATGCAGCAGTGTGAAGAAACAGAAGCAATGCATTTTCACCAGTTCCTATTTCACCAGGAATTCCTACAAATCACTGACACAAACTTCAGGTATGCCAAGCTCCACCCATTTCCAGAATTAAGAGGATTCAGCTACCTGTGGCAAAAGTTCAACAAAAAGATCCAGACAGAAAGCGTCAGTAGTCACTGCATGGAGAGGAAAAGCTAAGGATGAAAAGCAACAGGAGCAGCATGGTTGCAGGCAGAGCTGATGTCTATCCGTGAAAAGCCACCTCTCAGACAGGTCCAGGGAGCTGCTGGATGAGGGGAAGAGCATCTCCAGAGCATGGCGAGACAGGCGCCAGGGCCACCACCTCCTACCTGGCATCGGGACCTTTCAGCCTCAGCTCCTGCACAGCGGCCACTGCCCACAGGCGGATGCGTTTCGTGTTGCTGCCGCTCAGCAGCCTGTGGTGCCGACACACCAGCACACCTGGGAGACCACGGGGGGGACAAAGGGCACCTGTGAACATCCACTGCTCCCAGCCATCACCCACCGTGTGCTCCTCACAGCCAGGCCACCAATTCATTCAGGCAGGGCAGTGTTTTTACAGACTAGAGCTGAACCCCGCAGGAAACCCAGGACACACAGCCATCACCACCCCGTGCATCCTGCATCCGACACAGCAAACTCATTTTCCAAACACAGCTGAAATTGGAGGTCTGCAAGCTCTATGCTTCTTTCCTTGTTACAGCCCCAAGAGATGCCCAGGGCAGCTGCACCTACCGATCTCACCCTCATCGGCCTCCCACGTCATGAAGCAGCGATTAGTCCCAGTGTCCCACACACAGATCTGGCCTGAGTTTGTCCCACTATAAAGAAGAGGGTCGGCACCGTAACAGAGAGAGGTCAGCTCCACCGGCCCCAACACATCTGGAGCAGGGGCACGATGAACCTGCAGGAGCACAAAAAACATTGAAGAGAATATGGTGCTTACCTACATCAGGGAAAATAACCCTCCTCCTCCCCTAAATTCATGTAGTTGATGCCTCAAATATAACTAAAAGCCACTCATGACCAGCCAACATCATCTTAAGAGAAATCATCAGCTCTCACAGACTCCGGAGGTAGAGCCTCCACCACACTCACCAGGAGCTTGAGAAAAAAGTCAGAGGTGGTAAATGCTCCAACCCTGGCAGTGTTCAAGGCCAGGTTGCATGGGGCTTGGAGCAACCTGCTCTAGTTCCAACCACGGCAGGGGGGCTGGAACTAGATGATCTTAAGGTCCCTTCCAACTCAAACCATTTTATGATTCTATGATCAGGAATTATAAAAGAAGGTAAAACCGAGGTTTACCTTGAGGTGGACATCAGCTCCCTGCTGCTCCAACAGCCAGAACATCACAGCTCCCTGCCCCACGCAGGCCAGTTCTCTGTGAGAAAAAGGACTAAAAGCCACGTCATGGACTGGCTCTGAGATACAAGTTGACCACATGAGTTCATAAGTGTAGGTGTTCCACAGAGCAATGGTTTGATCGCTGTAGTCCCCTAGGTAGAACATGAAAGAGAGTAGGAGGAAATTCTGCAGCCTCAGGCTGCTCACAGCATAGGCACTGTGCTCCTGCATCAGCTGTGTCACTCCCTTACCCTGTTGTTTGGAGATGACTGCTGCAAACTCCATCCCAGGAGTGGATGCAGCTCCTTGCACACTCAACAAAAGCTGCAGAGTGTGATGGATCCTTACCCAAGTTGAGCACAGATATAACTATCACAACACTTCACAGTGGAGGCTGTAGCAAATCTGGCCCAGCAGAGTGGCTGCAGCCAGTGCTCAGTAAGGATTTCACAGGCAGAGCAGGTTTCCTGCTGTTTCTACATCCTCAGGAGCTACTGCACACCTCATGCATGCCCCACATAAGCCCTCCAGTGGTACTGTGCACTCAGGGCTAACAACAGTCTGGAAATCAGAAAGGATGTCACCTCTGCTGAGGTCACAGCTGAGATGGGAGCTGACCTCAATGGAAGCCACTGTATGTGGGTGGCAGAAGGCACCAGCCTTGGTGATGGCAAATATCCCCAGCTCCCAGGCAGCTCTGGAGCACAGTGCTCTCCTGCTGCCTTGCCCAGGCTCCACAAACTCAGTGGAGACTCCCAGCTTTTCTCTCCTCTGCAGCCCAGACTGGAGCTGGAGGAGGAGGCTGCTCTCCCACGCTGCTCCATGGAGAGCACAAAGCTCTTTCTCTCCAGCAAAGGCTGCTTTTTCCCAAGGGCAGACGCACCAGCCCAGAGTGAGCCTGTTGCCTGCCCCACAGGTCCTCTCTCATGCAAAACAAGAGCTTACTAATTGCATATTTGTCCTTTAAATGTCCCCTGCCTAAACTAAACAGACAGCTTGAGTGTCCATCTTGTGCTGGCACTGCTGCCTGGCAGGAGGCTCACAGTTTGAAGCCTGGCTACTTCTATGCAATGCCACCTAAGCAGCAATAAGTCCAGGAGAAGGGTTTTCCCTCTGGACACTATATATAGTAACTGGAAACTATTTATACAGGTTTAACAAGCACTTGTGAGCCAGAAGCAAGATGTAACTTGAACAAAAACGAGCTAGCTGGGGCAATGGGAAGGGACCGAAGGGGAGCTGGGGAAGCTCAGTATTCATGCACAGGGTGCATGCTTCCCATTGAAACACTGATGACAGTGTCCTGGAACCTCACTCAGCTGGAAGAAGTGCCTCTGCAGGCAGTCACTCCCAGGAAGATCCAAGATCACCTGCAGTTTTACATGCTGCATTATCCATTGCCCCAAGGCTACCAAGAAACAGCTTCATAGCCACGAGCCTGGTACATGTGTCATGTACAGTTATAGCATCACCCTCCCATAAGCTGTCTGCTGTAGGGTGCCCCACACCCCATGTTACGGGTGTACTCACCGAGGGTGACAAGGAATCGATCATCCCGAGAGAATGCCATGGCTTGGACTTGGGTCTCATGGTGGAAAAGACTTGCTGTGCAAAGCCCATCCTGGACATTCCAGATGCAGATCTGACAGTGGGAGTCTCCATTCTTCTTTCCTGAGGCAGAGGCAAGAACCTAACAGAACAATATGTTGTCACTGAGACCTTGGTAAATAATTCGAGACACCTTGTTAGTCTTAGAAACAATTAGTCTCAAATTAAAGTGACGTGTTTGGCACAAAATCCTGTAAGAACAACCGTCAGCTGATGGCAGGAGGGAACAGATCATCACCAGGAGGGAGTGAGCAGCCTTTACTGTCACACTGAGCCAGCACAATGGATGAGGCTCCAATATTGGAACAGGCTTCCCAGGAAGGTGGTGGAATCATCATCCCTGGAAGTGTTCTAAAACTATGTAAATGAGGTGACATGGTTTAGTGGCCTTGGCAGTGCTGGGGAATGGTTGGACCTAATGATCTTCAAGGTTTCCAACCTGGTTTACTCTTTGATTCTATGAAAACTATTTACTGCATTTCCATAACCCCAGGTTTCCACACAGAAGGAGGAACAGCCAGACAGGCTTTTAGCCTGCAACATTCCATTATCCCAAAGCAACATGGACAAAACCCAGACTGGGGCAGCAGAAGTTTCTCCTACCTGGGCATCATGGCTGACAGCAAGTGTAGAAATCTCCTCTGCATGGCCAAGCCAGTGATTCTGTGATCCCAAGTGCAGGTCTTCCACCACGATGATGCAGCCACAGGTGTAGGCGAAGAAGCCTTGTGGAGAAGGATGAGATGGAACGTTTTCATTTAAAGGCTTCACATACAGCACCCATTACCTCACAATTCAGGCAAATTCTGGGTTTGGTAACAAGTAAAAGCTGACTCTTCTACACAACATGTCAGCATCCTGCCCCTCAGGTTGGGAGTGGAATAAGATCTCCCTTCCCCTAACCTGAGCAAAGCAAAGCTGCTGGGCATCCCTCCAGCCTACAGGATGGAGGAAAGATGGCCTTGGTGAGAGCTTTCCCTTCTGCTCTATCCACTCAACAACTGAAGCCTGACCTGCCTGTATCAACTAACATTTGTCAGTAGCAAAGAATCTCAAACTGGTTTGGGTTGAAGGGACCTTAAAGCTCATCCAGTTCCAAGCCCCTGCCACAGGCAGAGACACCTTCCACTAGACCAGGTTGCTCCAGGCCCCTGTGTCCAACCTGGCCTTGAACACTGCCAGGGATGGGGCAGCCACAGCTTCTCTGGGCCACCTGTGCCAGCACCTCAGCCCCCTCACAGGGAAGAACTTCTGCCTAAAATACAACCTAAGTATCCCCTCATTTAACTTCAATCCATTCTCCATTGTCCTGCCACTACATGTCCTTGTAAAAAGTCCCTCTACAGATTTCTTGTTGGCCCCCTTAAGGTATTGAAAGGCCACAATAAGGTCTCCCTGGAGCCTTATCCTGGCTGAACAAAGCAGAATCAGAATCATAGAATCATAGAACAGTTTGGGTTGGGAGGGACCTTCAAAGCTCATCTAGTCCAACCCCTTTGCAATGAGCAGGGACATCTTCAACTAGATCAGGTTGCTCAGAGCCACATCCAGCCTGGTCTCGAATGTCTCCAGGGACAGTGCATCCACCACCTCTCTGGCAACCTGTGCCAGTGTTTCACAGACTGGTTTGGAAGGGACCAATCCCATTATTGCATTTTACCAATGCAAAGAACCCCTGGGTTAAAGCAAAGATCCCAACCCAGCAGCTAGAAGATCATAACCTGGCTCAGTACATCTCCCACCCCTCCAGAGCCTTCCTGGTGTACCTGTGTCCGGGTTCCACACCATATTCCCTCTGCCATTCCCATTGTAGCCGATCACTGCTTTCAGCTTCAAGACCTCACTGCCAGCTGGAGGAGGTAAGAAACTCTGCAAGAAAAATAGACTTTGGCTTAAAATAAGCTCTAGAGGAATGGCCCAGGCAGGTACATTCAACACCCACGTGAGAAAACGCCTGAGTGCAAGCACACACACGCATCCTCCCACACACAACACCCAAATTCATGCCAGCGCTCACAGCATTCAGGTTCAACACATCAACAGATGAATACCAAAGTACACACTTACACATACAAAAGGGAGACTGCACCAGCAAAACCAGGCACAGATGCTTTCAGATGGGGCACAAACCAGGCTGGCAGCAACTGATTAGCATCTGCTAATCCTGCTGGGGAAGAGTTTGGTGGGTTTTGCTCACTTGGGGATGTAGATATTTCAACAGGAAGACAGTGGGAAGGGGAAATGCTGCTGGGTGGAGGGACAGAAGAGCACATTGAACAGCTTAGAGCTTAGGAAAAGGTTAAGTCTCTGCTTTATTATTGCTCTGTTTGTTCACAGAGCCAGAGCTGGGCCTTGCCCATCCTCCCCACGCTCAATGGTTGCCTTCCCCAGCCTGCTCTGCCAACGCATCTGCTCACAAACACGGGTGTGAGATGAATCACTGCACTGCTCACTCGTCTTTCCCTTTCAATAGCACATGCCATTTGCATTTGTTTGGAATAAAAATGTATGCAGATTTGCTGAATGGAAAAAGAATTGATCACAGCTCACTTTCCACTAGTCTGGAAAGAGCCGCGTGTAGAGGAGAAAGGGTTAGAGGATAAAAGGGTAACAACGTGAGGAGTTTCTAATTGAGCATCAGGCCCAGCGGTACATTTCACAAACTGCTTTCAAACAGAGAATAAAACAGAAACAGTTTGGAAAATCCACCTATCCCAGCCCCACAATGTGCATTCACTGCCCACCCAGGTACAACTCTCACCTCAGGGAGCACCGATGCCTTGAAGCGAGGAGTGAAATGCCGGTAGGAATCTGGGCGCACAGAGCACTGGGGCTTGGGGCTTCTGATCTCCTTTCTGGGTTCTGCTGTACAGAGAAGGAAACAGTTGGTACCTCTGGGATGCTGCTCCTGAGAACGATTTGGAAGCAGCACCTGGGCTAGGGCTTGTGAGCTACTCATATGCTGTGTGTGTACCCAAACACAAACACAGGCTGTGGGAGACGGGATGGAGCAGTCCTGAGGAGAACAACTTGGGGGTGTTGGTTGATGAGCAGCTCCCCATGACCTGGCTTCAGTGAGTGCTTGAGCCCAGAACCCCCCGTGTGCTGGGGCTGCATCCCCAGAGCGTGAGCAGCAGGTTGAGGGAAGGGATTCTCCCCCTCTGCTGTGCTCTGGGGAGACCCCCCTGCAGCCCTGATCCAGCTCTGGGGCAACAACACAAGAGGGACGTGGAGCTGTTGGAGCCAGTCCAGAGGAGGTCACAGAGATGCTGTGAGGGCTGAAGCAGGTCTGCTCTGGAG